AAGCAAACTTCTTTATAACATTAATGTATTTTCAGCATTATTTGGATTGACATCATTTTACAATAAATTTTGCAGTTTTAGTAAGACAACATTCTTTGACTTTTCAACTTCATTATCATCAGGAAAGCCTCACAAAAATGACATGAGGTAGATAGCTTAATGTTCCATTTGACAGATGTAAAATATGATGTAAGATATTATATAATTCCTATAACATCACTTAGCAATAGATCAAACACCAAACTGAAAATGGGATAAAACTCCTGTTTTAAAAATGCACTTTTCCAGGCTGGAGATTTAGCTCAGTGGTTCCACTGCCTACCTTGAAAGCACAAGGACCCGAGTTTGATCCCTGGTACCAAAAAAAAAAAAAAAAAAAATCCACTTTTCCATTGCTTAGACTTCCTTATGACTATATTTATTCTTCTGTATTGGTCATTTTTGCTGTTGCTGGGACATAATACTGATACCCACACTTTAAAGTAGAAGAGGATTAGCCGGGTGTGATAGTGCATGCCTGTAATCCCAGCACTCAGGAGGCTGAGGCAGGAGGATCACTGTGAGTTCGAGACTAGTCTGGGCTACACAGTGAGTTCTAGGTAAGTCTCACTATGTAGTAAGACCCTGTCTCAAAAAAGAAAAAAAAAAGATGAGGATTAATTTGGCTCACAGTTTCAGAGAATTCAGTTCATGGTCAGCAGATTCTGGTAATACAGGAACATTATGGTAGAAGGGCATAATGAAGCAAAGGTTGTTAGTTTATGAAAGAAAACAAGTAGAGCAAGGGAATAGCACCAGAGAGAAAGAGGTAAGGCACTAGATACAGACCTTGAGGTCAGACTCTATTAACCACCTAGAAACACCATGCAGGTTGCTTTTTAATTCTCTATGCAAATCCCAAAACAAATTAAATTGACAATTCACCTTAACTATCACATCCCTTCCTTTGTCAACTTGATACTCAAACACATCTGTTTAAATTATACTTAATCTCTAAATGAACACCAGGTCATAATTCTGCCTAACCTGGTACAATTATCCAACCTATAACTGAAATACAATAATCCCTTCCCCAAAGTCTGAGCAGTATCAACATTGTTAAAAGTCCAAGCTAAAGTCTCCTATGAGACACATGGCAAACTCTTAGTTGTGAATCCCTGTTAGAAAAAGAAAGAAAGGAAAACAAGTTACATATCCCAACGTACAATGACACTAGTTAAACACTCATTCAAAAAGGGAAGAAGGGAGAGAGGAAAAACAATCAGATCCTAACAATACTGAAACCCAGCAGAGCAAACATAAAGTCCTGTAACTTCATAACCATCCTCCAGAGCAGCATGTGTGCTCCAGAGAGCTTGGATGACCCAATTCTTGTAGTTTTTCTGGTTTCAGCCCACTCAGTTTCTCTCTTAGGCTGGCTCTGTTCATTGCTGTGATTTTTCCTCAGCAGATGTTCGATGTTCCTGCCATCAACTTCTTCATGTCTCCACAAAATCTTTGGTTTTATTCCTACATCTTCAAAAACTGTCCTCTCAGGGGGCTCCTTCTCTGGCCTTCCAGGTCCTCTTTTGAAATCTGGGTGGAAGCTATGACTGCACAGCTCTTGTATTCTGCTTTCCAATAAAACCAGCATCACACAGATGACATCAAGGACTTCTGTAAGCAAAGCTATAACTAAACTCCCTCAGACCATGATGTGGCATCCTGAATGACTGAACACAATAAAATGAATCCTGAGAATCAGTTCTGTAGGAAGCTTTCCACAAGCAAGCATCTCAGGGACTCTCTTCTTAAATGAAAGATTTACACTTTTTCACCCTTGTGCCTGTGATGGGTGGGGTCTTGCTAATTTCTGAGATGACCTCAAGGCATCTGTTTTTATTCTTTTATGAAGTCATTTGTTTCTTTTAAATGTTGCTAATCTTTTGAACAATCATACCTTCTTGGTATCAACTTTACACATGGTTTCTTCTGAGCCAAAATTTAAGTTTTTCAGTTTTCTTCTTTACTTTTTGTCAATTCTCACTATAAATTTGGCTAAAAGCAGCTAACAGTACTAATGCCACAGACTGAATGTTGGGCTGTTTTGAAATTTCGTGCGCCACATCAATTAGTCCACCACCCTTAATCTCAGTCTCCCGCAAAGTTGCAGTAAGTGGGCAAAATGAAGTTACTTTTTTTTTTCTTGCCAGACTGTAAAATACATGGGGTCTACTCAAATTGCCAATAAAGTCCTCATTCCCAACTGAAGCCTGAGCACAGCCTCTGGTCATCTGAACTATTATCAGAATCACCCACCTGCCTCTGGTTACAGCAGTCTAGGGCTTCTCCATCTAGCATCTCCAAACTTTTCCCAGCACCTCCCTTAAGCCAGTTATAAAAACCTTCTAAACCATATAGTTGGGAATAATTACAGCCATGGCCCTATTTTTCTGATACCAATGTCCTATATTAGTCAGTTTTTCATTTGTGGGACACAATACTGAACATGCACAACTTAAAGGAGAGGTCTAGCTCAGGGTTTCGGGGGATTCAGCAGACTCCAAGGTCAGTAGGTCAGCAGACCCCCAAGGCAGAAACATCAGTGTGGAAGGGAATAGTAGAGGAAAGCTGCTTAGCTCATGTTAGCAGGGTAGCAGCACCAAAAAACAGCAGCACAGAGGAAAGTGCAAGTGACCATTTATAGACCCTAGTGACACACCTCTATGACCCATCCAGATTTACTAATCTGCTAGGCCAGTGGTGGCAAACTTATGGCATGTGTGTTATTTGCTTTTCTTTTAAGACAAATATCCTAATTTATGAGTTGGATTTTCTAAACTAAAACCTCAGTATTCAATTATATTGTTGACACTTTGCAATTAATAAGTGGGTACGTGCTGCAGTTTGGGCACTCATCTCTAAAATGTTTGCTATCACTGCTAGATTGATCTCAAAGCCAATGAGGATGGCAACCCACTTTAACCACTATATGTTCGTATTTGTGTTAAAGTGACACTGAATTGAAGTGAGAAGAAGTAGTTAAATTAGTATAGTTTCACAGATACTTATACAGAAAAGCTATCATATAATTTTATATAAATTTATAT